TCAACGCCGTCTGCGCCGCCGCGCGCTACCACTACGTCACCGTCCTCATGAAGGGCGAGGCGGAGCCGGGGGCGGAGCCGCGCAACCGCGAGCCCGAGAAGAACGAGGGTGAGGGGGTGCGCGCGGTGGGGGGTTGTGTGGGGTGTCGCTCCGGGGTACGGCTGTTCTCCCGCTCGGTTGTACCGCGATGCGCGTTTCGGCTTCATTTATTGTATTTTTCCCTTTATTACCACGTCATTTCAACACAGCGAGGTCAGGGAGCGGCCGCAGGTACCTTTATTCTGCAGCTCGTGTCCCGTAGCGTCAGGGCTTACGGGGAGGGGAGTAATAAGTTCAAAGGAGCTGTGTGTGCAACGGAGACCTCGGATCGGCGTTGGCAATTCCTGCGCAATCCGCCCAGGCTTGCAGAGGCCGAATTGCTACGCCATTCATTTTATACTCTGGCTTTTTATTTTTATTTTTTTTTTTTTTTTTTTTTCCCCTTACAGGTTGGGAATGGGTTAAATGGGACGAATTCCCTCCAGCGGATCAACTGTTCTGGGCCTTACGCTGCTTAAGAGAGCAAGGTTACAATCCTTTTACAGAAGAGCTCGATCATCTAAAGGGGTACACGGGAAGTCACCAACTAGCGTAAAAAACTAATTGGACATTCCGTAGCAAACCACAGGACAGAGCTGCTTTTTTGGTGTAAAAGAGGAAAGGATATATCGTGCTCGCTCTGCCCGCGTGGAAATGTTACCCGTCCCAAAGCCAAAAAGCTGCCAAATGTTTCAGTGCTTTTACCGTATTTCACACGACGGTTGTCTCTCGTTGTAGAGCTATTTCTAGCTCTAGTGGTTAGCAATTAATGTTTTCTTTTATAGAAAACTCCTCGTGTTTTATCTGGTTAATCTTTAGATAGATGAATCGCCCTTTGGAAGTCAGAACTAGTCAGAGACGCTTACTTGGAAACAGTTGCAGCATCAGGCCCAAGAGAAACGGATTTGTTTAAACCACTGTCCTGCTTTCTATGTAAAACTACTTTGTATACCGTGCTGCTTTCCTGTAATTATAAATCTTGGACCGGTTTTTAAACTTAGCCTTGTCTCATAGCTTCAGTTAAGATACTGTCATGAATAAGAGTCACATTTTACAGACAATGCCTCGTTCTCCTGCAGACAGTAGTACATACTTGAGAATATTATGAACATGAAAAGGTTGTGGTGGCTTGTTGCAAGGAACGAAAATTCCCTGACCCTTCTTGCCACCCCCTTTCGTTACAGAGTTCTGTTTGCAGCCCCAGTTACATCAGAATTTATCTGCAGAAGTGTTTCAGATTGCTACAGTTGATCTTAATTCCTGATCGTGTTACTAAACTCTTAATAGTTTAATGGAGAGGTGCCTACAGCATTCTACTAGGCTGACACAAATAACATTGTACAAACTAATCTCATTTATAGTTGTAGCTCTATGGCAGACAGGCATACTTTTTGGCTAAAGAGGGTTGTCAGTCTTGAACAGCACAGGCGGGTGTAATTCTGTATGGCTACTGGGATTTGATAAATTGTTAATTTTCAGTTTGGTGTGACTAAATGATTGAATTGGTAGTGAATAAAATCACAGGACACAAAGATATATACAAAAACAATGAGTTAATTTTTCATTTTTCTAGATTCTGTAACCCAACTTGATTCTTTCCCAGCTGTAGTCATCAGCAATTAGTTTTAGGATATGACTTCTAATAAATCACTAATTGGCTCATTTTTTCTCTCTTCAGGGTTCTTTTAAAACACAGTTTTTGTCTGTTTCCTTTAGATATACCTATTGTACAAAATGTTCTGAGATACCTTTAATTTCTTTTGCATAAAACATAAGCACAATGTGGAAAGATTAAAATTGTCTGAAATTGACTTGTCAGTTCTTAAAAGAAATGAGCTTGAAGGGTTTAAAGCTCTTCCTTACTTTGCACATACATTTTCTTAAATGGAGATGGCTCTTTTTGCCGAGAAACAGACAGAGTGATAGGAGGTATAAGGATGCTACTGACGATCACAAGCCTGCTTAGAATTTGAAGTATTAACTATGCGCAACTTCCCTTAGGACAGATATTCTTTGTCTGAAGTGAAGAAAGGAGATGTTATAAAGCAGTTTTGAAATGGAAATATCACTGAAAATTCCTTTACTACTGTATCTTTGTAGAAAGCTTATTTTTTCTATTCAAAAGTGGAGATTTTCTTCCTGAAAGCAACTTCACGTACTCTGAAAATTATTCCATTCAGCTGTCAACAAAGAGGCTGTAGGAAGAGTTGACAGATGTCCTGCCCATCTGTCCCAAAGAATAAAGAAAAAAAAATTATTTAGATGATTTAGTGCAATTTTAAATTTTAGAAGGCATCTACCTCCTGATGGGAAAACCAAGGTCACTGTAAAATGGTTTGTCATGCAATAAATATTTTGTTACCATTAATGGTTATATTCATTCTATCTGTTGTAAATATACAAGTAGTTCCTGAAATGAGGACACAAACAGTACCTCCATATGTCAGGGTTTCTGTATACTTTCTAAGTGGACTGATTAAATCACTACAGTGCATTACTGCAATCAGCTGTCAGCAATCCCTAACTTAAATAACTTGGTTTGTATGTATCACGCATTTGTACTTCCCCCCACTCCGAAAATTTGATTCTCGGTAGTTCTTAGCTGCTAAGACTTGGTCCTTTCAACTAAATGTTATGTTTACTTTGATTTTTGGTACTTTTGCTAAACAGGAAAATCTTATTATGTACGCATCTAAGCCACTGAGTAGCAGAACACGCAGTTAAAACTTTGTGGTTTGCTAAATTGCTTGTAATAGACAGAATTCAGCTAAAATGGACTTAAGAGTTATCCAGCATTGAGAAACAGTCCTGAACAGTACAGAGTTTGGTGCACTGATGTAAAAATATGGTTAGGATGCACCTTATACCCAGTGTCTGATTTTATGCTAAGTGAACAGTGGGCAGAGCTGTCTTACTTGTTTCTTAGATGTAACACATTGGTCCCACTTAATCCTTTAACAGACTAGCAAACAACCCAGAAAAAGAATCAGTCGTTGCTTCTGTTCACTCTTACTTATGTCTGGAAACAACCACCCACCTCCACAATATTTCAGTTAGTGAATCACGATATAGCCATAAAACGGTTTTGGGCAGACTGGACATTACACTTTCAGTGACTATTAATTATCTCTATTTGTATTTCATTCCAAGAAAAGAATGTCCTTATAAATTAGAAGACGAAAGAGAGTAGAGCACAGTGGCTGTGTCATAAGATGTGTTAAGAGAAGGGCATTTAGGGAAGAAAATACTAATCCCATGGTACAAAGCGTTGAGAAACTGCATTTTGCAATATTGTGTATGATTCTGATCACACAAGTTTAAGAAAAAACAATGTGAACTGGAACAGCGGTATGCAAGGTTAACTAGGATGATTGAGAGGCCAGATGTATTAGGATTAACATGAATTAAAGAGGAAATGCAGTTCTCTATAAAGACATTGGGGGTAAACACCAAAGAGGAAAAGATGATACTGAGTAAAGGTTAAAATATATATGTATATTAATAACTTCAGACTGCAAAATAGAGGTGAAATTTTAGTAACTCTGAAAATACTTCCAAAAGGAACAGCTCAGACAAAACCAAATTCCCCATTTCTCTTTTGAAACCAAACCCACTGCCTCGTATTGTATGATTGAACCTGACTGAAGAGGTCCTTTTCATTTCTACATCCTTATGGGATTTGTCTATATGTTGGTCATATGTGGCAGCCTTACTGACAGCAATATTTGAAAGATTGTCTGAGCAAATGCAGCAGTACCTGATTTATCAGATACTTCCTGCGAGGAATCTACAAAATGGAAAAGTGGAGAGAATTGTGATCTGTGCTTCAGGAAGCCTCGTTGCAGGGCAGAACCCTGTAACTGCCGTGAGCAACAGTTCACATAAGTAACCCTCTGATCAAATCAGAAAACTAAAGAGAAAAGTAGCTGTCATAAAATGACTCCTTAAGCAAGAGAACAAGGAAAAGAAAGCCAAGGGAAGTGTCTTTGGAAAGATGAAAGAACACTGTAGCTGAGGCAGGAGATGCAACTGCTGAAGTAAACAAATTAGCAGGTTCAAAGAACTGAAAAAAATTATAGATGACAAGAATAAAGAATCTGTGAGCACTTTGAACTGAAAGGAGCTGAACCTGCAGCGTGCCCCAAAGTGTGTCATCTCCAGGGTCCCAGGATGCTTAACCAAAGCACTGGTGAAGTCTTGCAAATGGGCACTACATCACTGCCTCAGAGTCTGCCCAGTTCTGCATGCACCTGATAAAGCTCAGCTGAAAAGGACAGACTTTCAGCTCCTGACTGCTCAGCTGCTTCTAGTACTGACTTGACATCTTGCAAAGGGGAAAATGGAGTACAAACTTCTGAAACTGAATCAGAATTCAACCATAATACCGGGATAAAATGTGCTGAGTATTGAAGTTACACAAGACTTAAGTTTGCAAAATGAAACAAAGTTACATCAAAGCTGCGTTTATTTATGACAAATCATTCATTATATATTACAATAATTACAAACTTTTTTTTTTACACCTTATTGCCATATTTTTGTTCTCGGCACACACAAGATGATCAAGAACGTGGATTTAGGCAGTAACAAAAAAAGATACTAAAATTAGAAATTTCATGCCCCATTTCTGTGCCATAGAAAAGGCTATCATCAAAAGAGTAAAGTTACTAAGAAACATACAAGGGGATTCCCCTTACACCTTTTTTCCCAGGAACTTTTGTCATCTAATGTATAGTAAATATATATATACAGGCATGTCTCTTGCAAACATACACATTCACACATTTACATAATCACTGGAAATTTGACATCTCTCCTCCAGCAGAAAGCTCCCAGTCGTTTTACTTGAACACGTAATGGAAAAAAAAATTCTGTAATGGAAAAAAAAAAAAAAGTCCATGGTTTTAAATTAGTCACCCTCTTTCTGAGCCAGCCGTTATCTTCTCCCTACACAGGGATGCCAGCATAACAAAAGGGTATTGCAGTTTGTGACGAACAGCATCCAACCTACCTTCACCACAGGAAAGGTCTACTAAGGATACTGTCCCTCTTGTACCTAGTCTGAGTCACTACTGCTGCTTGAGGAGTCTGTTGACATAACTTCTACATCATCTTCATTCTCTTTATTGTGTCCTGGAGGCTCCAACATGAAGTCATTACTATGATTAGGAGGTAGCATGTTCATTGACATATCACTTGACTGCCAAGGATACTGAGGAGCAAGCACATCTGGAAAAAAGGGGTATAATCAATCCAACTATCAGCTTTGTACATCAACAAATTCAACAAGACAGCTCAAACAGAACTCCGAAATTAAAACAAATCTTAAAATCCTTCCTCGACAGATTAAACTCTCCAGTAACAGCTGGAAAATATATCATGATAGAGCCATTCTATCACTGTAAAAGCCTGCTCTCAAGAGAGGCCCATTTATGTAGTGGCTCTTGATCTCTCATCACTCCACTTCAAAACAGTATATATTCATACAGAGCTTTTCATCTTCAAAGCACAGTTTGAACTGACTTCACATTCACAACCATTGGCAGTAATGAGAAT